TTCCAGGGAGAGAAGAGCCAGCTAGATCCTGTGCCTGTATTTACAAATAAAGGCACAGCTCTGCATCTCTATTTGCTGTAGGAGATCAGCCAAAATCACTGACCGAGACCTGCTGACATACACCTCCTACATCGAATGACAGTGGGGGCCAGTGGGGGGGCGTGCGCGCATGCGTGGTCTAAACCTGGAAGAACAAAGTGACGTACGGGTACGTCACTTTGCCTGCAGCTACTGCCTGACCACAGTACATTGCTGGCGGGAAGTGGTTAAGTAAAGTTCCACTGTAACCACTTTAATATCGGGCCATTTTGTAGTTTTCAACACTGATAGTTTGACAATTACACTCATGCAACACTATACCCAAATGAATTTAATATCAGAGCTTTCTTTTGGTAGTATTTAGTGATGTAAGGTGAATGCGAGGGATCAGCAGTGTACATAGGACCATGTGATTGCTGTGATGATCAATCATACCTATTGCATGTTACCCAGCCACTCAGCTGGGAACACAGTGATCACCCAGCAGATCGACTGCTCCAACGGCTATTTATCCAGTGCTGCTCATAAACTACGCCTAATTAAATTAAAGATCTGCTGTTAAAAAAGGTACCACAGTAGATAAATGTATAAAATCTAACCATACCATCAACTTTAGATTTGCCAAAACTTATGTAATATGTGAATAACTATGTGGGAAAGGAGAGATTTGTGAAGTAGGGTTGTCAGAGCCCTTTATGCAGATTTTACTCACTCCAGTCTTACTGGAATAATATTGTTTTAATCTCTGAAAATCCTGAACTTTTGCAGTTCAGGCAGCCTTAGTACTGATGTGACTTGGCCTCTTACATGTGTTAAGGAGGCGTGTGAGATTGAAAAAGCAGAATAGAATTGTAATGTGTTGACAGTAGAAGAAGGAAAGCAGTGGCAGATTTATGAGCTCATTTATGCTGATTTTACCAATCACTCAGGGGGCGAGTCCAGGATGGACTGGAATAATCTGATTGTTTTGAATGAAACTCAGAAGCAAAGTCCTGGCAGGGGAATTCAAAAAAAACTGTAGCAAAAGCTGTTTTTGGTTTATATTTTTTAATTTTTGCAAGTTCTGATGTAAGCACTTCCTGTACCTGCAATTTGACTTGGTATTAGCCTCTTACAGTCACTGTGGCTGTACTACAGGGGGCTGGGGTGCCACCCGAGATGAAGTGGAACAGCAGAATGAGGAGCCAATCAGTTCATGTGTTTGACAATGCAAGAATGTTAGAAGAATCAGAAAGCAGTGGCATTCATTTTATGAGCTCATTCTCCTAGTGAGCTGTGATTGGCCCACCTGTTGATACATGTCCAATCACAGCACCCTGTACCAGGGGCAAGCTCCAGTCCAGGATGACCTGGCTCTGAGGACAGTGGTTGAATGAAACAGCAGAAGCAAAGTTTGTGCAGGGGAAATGATTTTCTGTATTGAAGGCGTAAAACTGTAGCAAAACACACACACACATTTTGGTAAGTTTCATGCCTGTCGGTATAGAGAAGAGAGAACATTATGAGTGATTTTTTTGGCTGGATGTTCTGATTAGTAACCACTTCCCTTTGCCCTCCTGCAACCCTTTGATCACCCTGTCGGCAGCTACAGTGCCATTAGTTACAGTGTCGAGTATATAGAATTTTTCACATCACTGTATTCTGTACTAAACATCAAGGGGGCGCTGGGTCAGTAAGCCCCTTCCGCAAATGCTGTGTTCAGTGGACATCAGCGGAATGAAGATCCCGCTGACATGTGATTGCACTCATGCTATAGGTCACTGATCACTGCCATTACTAGTTTAGTGTTTGTACGGATCAATATATTGATCATGAACAGAAATATACTAGTGCCTCCTTTGTATAGTGTCCACAAAAACGCAGAGTTAGCAAGATCGGCCCCGTTCGCTGCAGCACTAGTGTTTAGTGCCTCCACTGCTTTTCACGGAAGATTTGTTTCAATTGATTGTGGGCCAAGGCAATTTATACGCACAACAATACATGGCCACCCACCAAAATTCAGCTCTTGCCAGACAGTTCACATGGAAACCTATCACGGTTTCTGAATTTAAAACTCTTTTGGGCCTAACCCTCAATATGGGCATTACAGAAAAGAATGAATTGCTGTCATATTGATCCACAGAGCCAATTCATCGAATGCCCGTGTTCTCTGCTGTTACATACAATTGTGTTCAAAATAATAGCAGTCAGACATCACTAACCTGATCAATCACTGTTTTTGGTGGAAATGATATTTCTACATGGCAAATAATTTACTAGCAGGTGTAGTAGAGTAATAGAAATCCAACAGGCCCAACAGTCATGACATGCATGCTGCTGATTCTGTGTAATTGAATCACTAATTGAAAGGGGCATGTTCAAAATAATAGCAGTGGAGTTCTATTAGTGAGGTCATTCATTCTTTGAAAAACAGATGGCAATTATTGCCCTTATTTAAGGAAGGAAGGCAGCAAATGTTCTACATGCTGGTTACAGTGCATTTCTCTCTGAAATTCTGAGGAAAATGGGTCGTTCCAGACATTGTTCAGAAGAACAGCGTACCTTGATTAAAAAGTTGATTGGAGAGGGGAAAAACATATAAAGAATGCAGAAAATGATAGGCTGCTAAGCTAAAATGATCGCAAATGCTTTAAAATGGCAACCAAAACCTGAAAGATGTGGAATACAGTGAAAAACTACCATTCGAATGGATAGAAGAATAGCCAAAATGGCAAGGACTCGTCCAACAATCATCTCCAGGAAGATCAAAGAAGGTGTAAAGTTACCTGTGAGTACTGTTACAATTAGACGCCTATGTGAAGCCAAGCTATCTGCAAGAAGCCCCCGCAAAGTCCCACTGTTGAAAAAAGACGTGCTGAAGAGGTTACAATTTGCCAAAGAGCACATTGACTGACCTAAAGAGAAATGGCGCAACATTTTGTGGACTGATGAAAGTAAAGCTACGTTCACACTAGCGTTGTGTGCAGGCGGCAGAGAGGTGTTTGGGAAGCGTTTTTACCGCTTCCCAAACACCTCTGCCAATTCTGCACATTACAGCACATGGTGCTGTTCTAATGGGAGCATTTGCGTCGCATCGCGGCAAAACGGACGCCTCTGGTCGAGTCAGGAGGCGTTGAAGCCTCCTATTCTCGTCTATGGTGCCACTCCGCAAACGCCCGGCCGGTGTTTGCGGTGCGGTTGCAACGTGGTTGTGGGGCATTTGCGGAGTGGTAAGACCACTCAAACTGCATTATAGGCGTTTGTGGAGCGTTATTAACGCTCGACAAACGCCTAGCAACCATCGCTAAACCGCGCATGCGGCGTTTGCCGAGCATTAAAAAACGCTCCGCAAACGCTATAGGGGCGTTTGGTAAGCGTTGGTAAAACAGCCAAGTGTGAACGAGCCCTAAGATTGTTCTTTTTGGTTCTAGTGGCTGGAGACAGTTTGTCAGATGACCCCCAAACACTGAATTCAAGCCACAGTACACTGTGAAGACAGTGAAGCATGGTTGCGCAAGCATCATGATATGGAGATGTTTCTCATACTACGGTGTTGGGACTATTTATCGCATACCAGGGATCATGGATCAGTTTGAATACATCAGAATACTTGAAGAGGTCATGCTGCCGTATGCTGAAGAGGAAATGCCCTTGAAATGGGTTTTCCAACAAGACAACGACCCCAAACACACCAGTAAACGTGCAACATCTTGGTTCCAGACCAACAAGATAGACGTTATGGAGTGGCCAGCCCAATCCCCGGATCTTAATCCAATAGAAAACTTGTGGGGGGACATCAAAAATGCAGTTTCTGAGGCAAAACCAAGAAATGGAGAAGAACTGTGGAATGTAGTCCAATCATCCTCGGCTGGAATACCTGTTCACAGGTGCCAGAAGTTGGTTGACTCCATGCAACACAGATGTACAGCAGTTCTCAGAAACAGTGCTTATACAACTAAATATTCATTAAGTGATTCAAAGGAAAGCAAAATCTTCAAACATTTTTCAGTTTAGATAGTGAATGTTTGAGTTTGTAAAGAAGAATACAAACACTGCTATTTTTTTGAACAGTCTAATATTCACTTTTCTTCAATTTTTTTTTAGAGGAACAACACAAATTTCATATATTTTTCTTCATGTTTCTATTTGGAATAGAATGTGTATTGTTCCCAATGCATTTGTGTGTATGGAAATAAAAGCTATTAGAAGGATTTTGAGCTTTATTCACTTTTTTCAACACACTGCTATTATTTTGAACACAACTGTATATGCCCAACATGGACCAGCAATGTACTGGTACGTCGCTGGACTTTGAGCGGTTATACCGGGATGATGCCTGCTGCTACAGGCATCATCCTAGTATGGGTTTTTTTTTTAGCTGGTAGGCAGCTTTCATATAAAAACAATCCTAGTGGCTAATTAGCTGCTGAATTGTTTTTACAAGCAGCGGGGAGGGACACCCCCCCCCCTTTCTGCTGCCTTCCACAGTTTTGTTGGGCTCTCCTGTGCCACAGGGGAATCCGAAAATGCAGCCAGCAGTTCCGCTGGCTGACCATAGAGCTGGTCAGAGACCAGAATGGTGCCAATCATCTCTATAGTCTAAGAAATCGGAAAAAAAACGCAGAGGTGATTAAATACCACCAAAAGAAAGCCCTATTTGTGTAAAATAAAGGAAATATATTTTGTTTGGGTACAGCATTGCATGATTGCGCAATTACCAGTTGAAATAGCGCCGTGCCGAACAGCAAAAAATGGCCTGGTCAGGAAGAGGGGGGTAAATCCTCAGGAGGGCAAGTGGTTAAATAAAATGTTACCAAAACGGAGCTCAGCAGCAGAAGTGTAACAAGTTCCGTAGCTGTCTTACCTGATCGTGTTGAAGTTATTAGATCCCATCACTATTCTATATTTCTGATCTTGAATTAAAAGAAAAAAACAATGAGACAAAAAAGTAAAGAAATCGCAAAATATGTTCTTATGTTTTAGGGTGTCTGTAAGCCGTGCCATCAAACCTTTTGCAGAGCAAGGGCGCCCTCCTGATTGGTTCTCCCAGAAGGCAAGTCAGTTAAAGTGTATAAATTGTTTCATTGTAATCCAACAGTTAACCGATTGCAGTTTCCACTGAGGGATAAAGTGTGTATGTAAAATAAAAACTTTTTCTTTTAGCTTTGTATACAGTAAGGAATGGTAAACAAACTCGTCAGGTAAGTTTTGGATGTCTGTGTCCCGCTGGAGATATATTCATTCATTTCCTGTACTAGAGAGGCAACAGAGAAAAAGGAGAAAACTCTCTAATGTTAGGGGGGCTTCTGATCCTGGAGAGTTATTACTGGAACACATTGGATAATTTACCCACAACTCTTGCTGTGGTGACAACTCTAAAATTTTGGATTTTGGCTCACTTTCTGTCTCAATGACAATAGTTTTTTAACGCTCCGCAAACACCGCATGCACGGTTTAGCGGCGGTTGCTAGGCATTTGCCGAGCCTTAAAAACGCCCCACAAACGCCTATAATGAAGTGTAAATGGTGTTACCGCTCCGCAAACGCCCTGCAACCACGTCGCAACCGCGCTGCAAATGCCGGCCGGGTGTTTGCGGAGCGGCACCATAGACTAGAATAGGAGGCTTCAATGCCTCCTGACTCCACCAGAGGCATCCGTTTTGCTGCGACGCGACGCTAACGCTCCCATTAGAACAGCACCATGTGCTGCATATGTGCAGAATTGTCCGAGGCGTTTGGGAAGCAGTAAAAACGCTTCCCAAACTCCTCTCTGCCGCCTGCACACAACACTAGTGTGAACGTATCCTAAGAGTGGGTAAGACTAGTGACCAGTCTTAACAGTCATAATGTTTTAGGAAATTTGTCAGTGGCTACAATATCACTAAAAGGTTCTTGTTTCTTACAATGTGTTGCATTACGATTTGATTTATACATTGGGTTTTTTTTATAATCATTACATCTAATTTTGTGTTGTTTCTAGCATTGTGCCTCGCAGTACTCTGAGCTTTTGGAGACCACAGAGACCCCAAAGTGAGTATATATTTTTCTTGTGCCACATTAAAGAATATCTTTGCGGCAAGAAATAAAAGGGCTGCCCTTGCCTCACTGTGGGATCTTTGAGAATGAATTACTTCATAGTACAGAGATGTTCAGTTCATATCGCCCAATGCCTGGGACATGTAATTCTGGGCGCCGGGCAGGTAGGTTTTTTTTTTTTAACCTTTAGCCCTGATGTGGGTAAGCAGCAGCGCTCACCTGTCCTGACAGCATTCGGGAATGTCCTGGAAGCATTCGGGCGGCAGCGCTGCCACCTGATTGCTTTCACACAGCCCACTATGGTGCCAGCCTCTGCCCCCTTGCCCGCTATGTCTCCCAGCTGTTCAGTGGGTACTGGCGGTTATAGGGGAGGGAGTCCTGACTCCTTTGATAGGTTTCCTGGCGTTTGAGGCCCGGAAAGAATGTAGTGCCGTGCGATGTGCACTCCATTACATTCAGTGTAGTACAGGGGAGACATTCAGGGTCTTTTAGACCCTGGATGTCTCAAAAAAGAGAACCTGTCACCAAAAATCATCACATAGGGGACTTTTTGTTCCCTATGTGATTTAAAAAAAAAAAAGTTACACCCAAGCATATAACACCTAGCAAAATTTTTCGAGACCCCCACATATGTACACATGTACAAACATAAAAGCACGTGCTGGGGTGCCTACACATGAAAACAACAATTGTGATACACATGTCACATACTGCCACGCACGTCAGAATGAGAGCAATAATTCTCCTCTGTAACGCTAAACTAATGACCTATAAGGGGGATTTAAAACATCACCTACAGAAAATATAAGGTACTGAAGTTTGTCACCATTTCACGAGTGCACGCAAATTTAAGGTTTGATATGTTGGATATCTATTTATTTGATGCAACCTCATCTTTTATATTTTAGAAAAAAATAGGGTAATTTATTGCTTTTATTCCGTAAAATTAATTTGTTTATTTTTTACCGAAATTTTGCGTTTCCTAAATCTTTGTGAAAAATATTGTGTGACATAAAAATTTGGAACTACCACTGTTTTATTCTCTAGGGTCTCTGTTTTCAGAAAATATATAATTCTTGGGGGTTTTGTGTAATCTTTAGGCTTTAAATGATTTTTTTTAAACGTGTGCAAAATACGCAAAAATGGCTCTGGCAGCGAAAGGGATAAAGGATAAGCCTGACACTCCCCTTTCCTGACGAGCACCCAATCAGTGCGCTTATTACACTTCAAGGTCTCTCTTCTCCCTGCTAGTCCCCAGGTGCTGTTCTGGAGGCAGGAAGGGAGGTGAGGAGGAGATAAACAGCGCAATGTTAAAAATATTAAACGTTTAAGTTGCCATAAAGCCCCCCTTTGTTTTTAAAAGTCCCAGACATTCCTAAAAGCACCTCAGATTTAAATACAGTTTTGGTTAAAATGTATTTTTTGTCAGGACAAGTAGATTGTCATGAGGGACAAGTAGATGGGGGCAACGATTTAGTCCCTGGACAAGTAGTTTTTTTAAAAAATTCCACACTCCTGTAGTACACGAAGCCAGAAAGGTTTAGTGAGATCTTATTTCAAGATGTCTCCTTTAGGCCCCTTTCACAAGAACGTTTCCAGTTGGGTCCACCTGACCATTTTTCATGTGGTCCCGATCGGACCCTTGATTTTCTTCTGTGGAGCGACGGGTGTAAACAGATATGTGTCAGTTTTACATGTGCCTATATCCAATCCGATCTGCTAAACACAAACGAATGGAGATCCAATTCCTTCTGATAAGATGGCAGGTGTAAACGGATAGGTGGTCCGTTTACATTCGATCACCCATAGAGGAGAGCGGACTGTATCTGTGTCCACTCTGCATAAGCCGAGTGGACACAAAGCTATCATCCGCCTGTTCAGTGGGGATCTGCGAACAGATACCCTGCTGAGCAAGCGAATTCCCAAGCGCAGTCCGCCCCATGTGAAAGGGGCCTTAAACACAGAAAAGAAAATCCATGTGAATATCTTGGAACTGCATAAGGGTACTAAAGGTTACACTTCCCGATCGAATTACCTGCAGATCTGAGAGAGTGTTGTGTATATATACTTTTAATAAAGAAAAACATTAGTTGAAAAAATATTTTGAAATTGGCTCATATCTAGATTTATTCTGACTACAGTAAGTTGTAAAATAGTTGGCTTGTATCTATCACAATAATCACAGGAATGAAAGACATTTTCAAGATTACACATATTTTAACATTTTTTTAAATCTTGATACCTTGTAAGCAGGAAAAACAGAAAAGTCTGACACTATTTTCAAACACACTTAAAAGAAATGTGTACTGACAGAGATCTCGGGCTGCCAATGTTAACCTAAAGAAAATGCTAGTTCACTGGTGATCATCCAGTGATGATCCAATGGCGTCAATGCTGAAAACAAGGAAACAATAAATGAATGCATCTCACAATTTGCTTACTTGATTTAGGTCAGTACACATTTCTTTAAAATGTGTTGTTCAAAAGTAGTGTTATACTTTTTTTTCTGTTCTTGCTTACAAGGTATCAGCATTAAAAAAAATCCAAAACGTGTAATCTTGAAGTTGTCTTTACATTCCTGTGGTCTTTTACAAGGTTTTTGCAGATTGAGTCTAGATATAAGCCAGTTCTTTTAAAATTTATTGTAGCTGGTGTACAGAATAAATCTAGATACAAGCCAATTCTGAAATATTTCAGCTCCTTTTTTGTTTATATAAAGCATCTATACAACACTATTTTTTGGTTTGAAAGTTTACCTTTATGCAGTCCTAAGGTATTCACATGGGTGTTGTGTGCTGTGTTTAAAAGAGCCATCTAAAAGAAAGCACTCACTGACCATCTAGCTCATGTGCTGTGAAGTAATTAATTCTTGAAGATCACAACAAAGACCCTGAAGTCACTTTGTCGGTTCAGAATTTGGAAGGTTTACAGGCTGCCAAGACTCTGCTGTCATAAAAAGTTAAGGGGGAAGCAGCTGAGAATTCCCCACAATTCCTATAGCTACAGAAGTGAATGAGGGCTTGTTTTTGTTACTGTTTGCTTAGAAAATACAAAAACATTTGGTTAGCTTTAGTCTGGGCACAGGTTCACTTTAAATGGTATGTAGGTTCCTTGACTGGAATAACTAGGGCTAAATTAGGGATTAAATCTCTGTATCTACTGATAGGCTTTTACTGTTAGTTGTCTGTATCCACATCTGCAGCATAATTAAATCATTGGAGGAGATTTATTAAAACTGATGCACTCAGAATCTGGTGCAGCTGTGTATGGTAGCCAATCGGCTTCTAACTTCAGCTTGTTCAATTAAGCTTTGGCAGTAAAACCTGGAAACTGATTGGTTTCTATGCAGAGCTTCACCAGATTTTGCACTCTCCGGTCTTAGTAAATAACACCAGTGTGTTGCTAATGAGATTATTGGCAACAAATAATTAAAATTGTAGCAAAATATTTAATTGTCGGTGTGACCCTAGCTTAAAGGTTTCTGTTTGGCTCTGTTGAGTAGAGGTTCACAGCCTTGCAGGTCATTTCATGTTGTTCATAATTTCCAGACGAAAACGAGGGGAACGAGGAGAGGTTGTGGAGACCGTAGAAGATGTAATTAATTGTACGGAAGCTGACAGCAGAAAGAATTGAGGAGCTGAAGAAGTTGATTAAAGACACACAGGAGAAATACAGGTGCTCTTTTTTTAATGTTTTTAAGCTTGTTGAACCTTTCATATACACTCACCAGCCACTTGATTAGGTACACATGTTCAATTGCTTGGTAACACAAATTACATGGCCGCAACTCCATGCATTTAGGCATGTAGACGTGGTGAAGATGACTTGCTGAAGTTCAAACCAAGCATCAGAATGGGGAAGAAAGGGGATTTAAGTGAGTTTTGAATGTGGCGTGGTTGTTAGTTCCAGATGGTCTGAGTATTTAAAAAAACTACTGATCTGCTGGGATTTTCATGCACAACCATCTCTAGGGTTTACAGAGAATGATCCGAAAAAAAGAAAATACACAGTGAGTGGCAATTGTGTGGCTGAAAATGTCTTATATCAGAGGAGAATGGGGCAGACTGGTTGATGCAACATTCAGATGGTAGGGTCAGAATTTGGCATAAACAACATGGAAGCATGGATCCATCCTGCCTTCTATCAACGGTCCATGTTGGTGGTGGTAGTGTAAGTCTCGGTTCACACTACTGCTACCTGAAAGTCATGCGATGTCAGAACTTTAGCTCTGAGAAAATAATCAGTATACAATTTATGAAAACGGGAGGATCTGAATTTAAGGAGATTCCCTACTAATTTTCATAAATCAACTGATAATCCGAATTCTTTTTTTGCACTAATTTGAAGACGAAATAAAAAGCAATAATGTTCAAAAATATATATTTATTAATATTACAAATCAGTGCAAAATGATAATGAAATATAGTAGGTGATGATAAATAATAAAAACAATTCAAAATAGCAGTACAATGATCTAATCCAAAATAATGGTTAGAAATTTAAACCAGCAATTACTTTCAAATAATAATGCATTAGAACCAACTGTCTAGAAATGCAGTGTAAGAAACCAAAAATCAGTATCCCAGCAGCATATGACAGCATCTATGCAAGTCAACCCACGTGATCTCTCTACAACCAGACATTCAAAGCTCAACGTGTTCCTTGGCATGAATTGATTAAGAATACCATACACAGGCCAATCCAATCAGCTAAGAATCTATCTGAGGTCAAGATAAATTGTTACACTAAGTTGTACACCTTGTTATATATATATATATATATATATATATATATATATATCTCCAGCTAAAAGATTGACTAGAAGCTAAAATTAGCTTCAGGGATATTTAAAATAGAATTTCCCCCAGAGGATTGAAATGAAAATAATTTTTACTGCAGTTAAAATTACTTCACATCAACTCCTGTGCTAAGCATAACTGTTATCCGACTAAAAAATTTAGCTGGAGATCTAAGGCGAGTACAAGTTAGCTGACAAAAATGAAAGTTATAGTTACCAATATGGACTCTATGGTGTCAGTGATGTCAGCTTTCATTCAGCTCACATCAGGGTGTGTCTGTGTCCACCTGTTGTCCCTTGTCTCCTCTCTTGTCTTGTGATGTTCTGTCTTTTTTTGTGATGTGTCCGCCCCCCCCCCCCCCCCCCCCCATCCGTCGCCTACTTTTTATCCCTCATAAAACTTAGGTGGGCAAATCTTATCTCACCTAACTGTGATGTCAGACTAGGTGTCATTTTCTCTACTAATTGATTTCGATTACCTAAAAGGGGGGGCAGTATAAGATTAGGAATGGTTTTGTATTTCTCTGACATGTCTTCTGTGACATGTCAAAGGTTAACCCTGGCTAGTAAGAAGATCATGAATATTAGAGAGAACTGCCTTTTTGACAGGGCTGGTTTCAAACAGACTAGCACGCATGTTACTGCAAATAATATATTATCTAAGTGATTCTGGAGAAGAAAAAAATCTACCTGTATATCCTACAAAAAGTTGAGGTCATTTTACTGAGACTTCTTCTTATCTCTCGTCTTCTGTAACTTACCAACGTTGTAATATAATGAACTCAAACTAATTCTTTATAATGTTAAAAACATAATATCCATAATATACCACTATGTATTAATTGTTAAAACCAATTTTATATAGAAATATATATATGTATATGGAAATTGAATATAGTAATATAATAACTGAATTACTTAATTAAGCTAGTATTCATTTCATGCAACACTAATAATAATACAAATGACAATTGACATTTTTGATTAAAGTAATCCTGTCAAATAATGGTAACACCATATACAATGTAAAGTTTAATATGAACTCTTTTCCAGAAGTTCATGGGGGAAAAAAATCATTGTGAACAGTTCTTTTGTTCTTTGTTCAATCTAGACATGGACTCATCTGTTTTATCTTACAACTTGGTATCATTACTACCCTTTGTCTTGTAGCTGTCTGATAACACCATACCTCCCCCCAAATTTACAACCTGGGAACATAAGCTGTAACGACTTTGTAATTCTCTTAGAATCTGTATTCAGAAACCATGAAAATAGAATATACAGAACAAAATGGCTTCCAGCATGCCCATGTAAAGATAAGTTCAGGCCTTCCTGTTTCATTCTGTGAGCCCAGAACAGTTCCGACAGCGACTTGCAGTGCAACTTTGTTAGGAAACTTGAGTACTACTTTGAAGCAACTTTCAGGGAATGCCTGGGTAATCTTCCTATAATGTCAGATCCAAATCACATCAATATAGATGAGGATCCAACTTGGAGGCAATTTCTATTAAAGTCTTTGGGCACAAGTCGGATAGAAGTCACCTTGAAGTAGTACACATGAACCTTTTCTAAAGTCAGAGCGACTTCAGTAGTGCTAATTAAGACAGCTCAAATTGACTAACATGGGATTTCACATGTTATGTGACTTGGGATCTGACAAGTGGGATCCCAAGTCGCAGCAGTGTGAGCCAAGCCTAATGGTGTGGGTGATATCATCTTGGAACCAGCAAGGTGTACCTAATAAAATGGCTGGTGAGTGTAGATAGATATGCTATGAAATAATGCCCTCACACTATGAATTGCATCCATGTACTAATGAACTCTTGCCATAGCAGTTGTGCTTGCAGTGGAATAGCATTGGGCCAGGTGTTTCAGAATTTTTAGTCTATGTTCCTTAACCCCTTCCCGCCGACGCCTCCCGGCCCTTTAAGAGATTCAGACGCCGGGAGGCGGGGCGGTTGGGGCGTGGTTTAGGAATCATGTGACCGTCGTGATGACGCGTCACGTCGGTCACATGATCGGGAAAGGTCCCGTTCGAAAGAGCGGACCGGGACCTTCCGTGAGTTCCACACATGTGTGCTGGGAGCGCGCAGGGCGCGCGCTCTCAGCACATATGTATTTAGTTACATGGACGCAAATGTGCGGCCGCTTGGCGTCTAGGCCCAGACGCCGGGAGGCCGCACATTTGTGTGCGGCCGGCGCGCAAAGGGGTTAAAGGATAAGTTCACCTTAGGAGAAAAATAATAAATGTACATATTTTTGCAGGAAAAAAAATAAATACGGGTGTTATGTGTAACATGCTCCAAGTGGTGAACATATCCTTTAGGCTCCATGCACACTGGGCGTTTTACTACCGCTGGTAACATTAGCTGTGTAAAGTCATGTTTAAAAATGTGAGTTTTTCAGCAGTTTTTAGTTTTTTTGTAGTAGTGTTTAGTGATGTTTTGCCGAGTTTTTTTTTAGAAGAAACAAAAGTCCAAAAACGCTGGTTTGCCATTTTTTCAGCATTAGAGCGTTTTTACAGCTAAAAAACTCCTCTAGAAACCCACTAGTTCTGGGGTTTTTTCCAGCCAAAAATGCCCCTGCCAAAAAACATTGATTACAGTCTTTGTGTGCATGGACACAGGATAACATGCTGGGGGGTTACTGGCTGTAGAAAAAACATCAAAACCCAAAAACAGCAGCTGTAAAAACATCAAGTGTGCATGAGGACTTAAGGAGCTTGTGAAGTCTTCTGTGGTTTTGATGTAATGGCTTAGCTTGTTTCCAGAGAGCAGGGATATGAGCTTAGGCAGCATTTACCGTATGAATAATAAAAAATAATTTATAGAATATGGGAAGAATAAAGTTATGATGGAGCCAGCAGAAGGCTGGCTCTTTGGAGATGTCTGTACATTTCTGGGTGATAAGGTGTACTTTATCCCAGAAATAACTGCATTTGGGGCCAGAAAATGTGCAGGATGTCTCCCAAGGATGATCCACAATGCCAAAATTGATTGGATATATTTGTCAGGATAAAAGGTGATGTTTGAAAGGTGCCTATACCACCTTATGACAAGCTTATATCCTGACACTTGATATCTGTAAGCTTATGAACAAGAGGAAGGGCAAGGTGATGGGTTTAGTCTGTTCTCCAGGGGTGGAGTGAACTTGTCAGTTTTGTTCCCACATAAAAGAAGGAAGCATGTTTAACCATTTCAATACCGGGCAATTTTACACCTTCCTGCCCAGGCCATTTTTCACGTTTCAGCGCTCTCACACTTTGAATGACAATTGCGCGGTCATACAACATTGTACCCAAACTAAAATTTTATCATTTTCTTCACACAACTAGAGCTTTCTTTTGGTAGTATTTAATCACTGCTGGGGTTTTTATTTTTTGCTAAATTAACAAAAAAAGCCCAAAAATTTTGAAAAAAAAACACGTTTTTTCTTTGTTTCTGTTATAAAAGTTTACAAATAAATAATTGTTCTTCGTAAATTTAGGCCAAGATGTATTTTGCTACATGTCTTTGGTGAAAATAACCCAAATTAGGATGTATTATTTAGTTTGTAGGAAAGTTATAGAGTTCACAAACTATGGTATAGATCTGAATATTGATCAATCCTGAAGTACTGACAGCCAATCCAATTTCTTGAGGTCCAAGAATGTCAGAATAGTACAGATATCCCCAAATGACCCCTTTTTGCAGAGTAGACAGTCCGACGTACTTCATAAGAGGAATGGCGAGTTTTTTGAAGTTGTATTTTTTTTGTCATAATTTTTCGGAAAATGTAAAAATTAAAAAAATTATTTTCACTTTTTTTTTTTTTTTACATACTGTCACCAGTGCAGTACAGCGTCCTCATATAACTGGCATGGCAGTGAACAGGGACACTGACTGGGGACAGTATGAAAAAAAAACTATATATTTTTTTTTATTATTTTTAATTTTGTATTACATTTTTTTTTAAGATTTTTTTTTTTTCATATTTTACTATGACCAAAGTAGTAAAATGTTACCATAGTAACATTGTACTACTTTGGGGAAGTGATCAGTATTTTTTTTTTACAGAATTTGCTTATAGCAAAGAATTACTTTGCTATAAGCAAGCATTTACCTGAATGAAATCGATTCATTCAGGTTTTTTTTTTTTTTTTTTTTTTTGTGCTTAGCTGTGATTTGGCCACAGCTAATCACATGACATGTGCATGTGACCTGCTGTGACCATTCACAGCTAGGCACTAGTATACAATGGATGGCATGAATGAAGCCATCCATTGTATAGAATTGTCATGTGATCTGCTGTGATTGGTCACAGCAGGTCACATGGTACCGGCAACGGGGGGCGGTACTCAGATCTGTCATCGGCCGTGTCCGAGGTACACGGTCGGTGACAGATCGCGCCGCTACGCAGCTCTGCAACCGCGCGAACTGCGCATGTGCGGGAGTACGCCAAATGGCGTGCACCCGGAAAGCTAGAGCATTTTTGCGGCCGCCAAACGGCTATAGGCCGGGCGGCTAATGGTTAATTCAGATCGCATACATTTTTGTTCAAACAGGTAGAACGGTCAGTCAAAGCTAGAGGCTTTGGGGAGAGAATTTAGAAAGTGAGCTAAATGTCCCCACTGCCATTGTCCTAGGGAGACCAAGTGAGGTGGATTGCCTAAAGGTAAATAGACTGTGCAAGTGCAGTTGCACTCATTTTCCCCAGAACTTAGTAAATGTGGTAAAGCTCTGCTGAATTCCATCATCCAATTATGTGCAAGCAAAAATGCTGGGTTTTTTTTTCTTGCACCTGATTAGGTATTATTTACAAAGTGAAGCAGAGGTTTCCTTGTATTTGATCGGTAGAGAGGGGCTAGGGGATAGGGGATATCATCCTCTCTTTAACTACGGCTTAGTTTATGGGCCATATTATTAATGCAAATGGAGTGCTGATGAAGTGGGCTTGTGCAGCAGGTGAGTATGGGTAGGGGTATTGGAGACAGGACTTGTTTTATGGTGACTGTATATGGTGATGTGATACACCAGTTTATTATCCTAGTGATTGGTACTTTGAAGCAGTAAAATGTTATGTCTGGTAGAGCCATGCCTCCATCTTGTTTGGGTCTACAAAGCATTTTTCTTTCAGCAGCTTATTGGCTAAAATGAAATTATTTAGGATCTCTTTGGTTGCCTTAAGGAAAATTTTCAGAATCCATATCACCAAAGCATGTAAAGGGTACAAGAGTTTGGGTAGAACATTGTTTTATTATGTTGCTTCTCCACATCCAGTTTTATTTTTTTTCGATTCTGGGTTTCAGTGATCACTTGCAACATAAGCTCTGTAACAGACTTGTTTAAAGGATCTTGTTTGTGATATTTCATTGATAACCATGTTTAATATAGCCCCCACCCCTTTCTTTTTTCCCTTTTCCTATTCATTTTCCTTTTAGTACAGCACACTTAATTATGGTGCTAGAATGCAGTAAAGGTAAAAATTGAGCTAATATATCTCAGTCCATGATATGCTGTTTACCTTTATTAGGAAACTAAAAAAGGAAGCAGAACTGATTCAGAGTGGCCACATGGACAGCAAGCTTGAAGAACTGTGGAATGACATTGTGGCGTAAGTTCTTTTATTGATTTATTTTTTGTATATATAATTGTTGTGCTTGGCCCCCTGTGACCACAGTGATATCTTTGTCTCTGCATCTTATAGCAAGAGAAAACAAGAGGAAGAGGAAGCGGAGATGAAGAGAAAGGCTACAGATGCTGCTTATCAAGGTTAAAGAGTTATAATTTAAGTTATAATTTAACCTGTCCATTTACTATATTGTGCTGGTTATATACCTATATTAGTAAGTGTAGGCCCTGAG